CATGTTGAGCAGTTGGCTTTGATATTGGCATTCTTCCGGGTTGCGCGCGTACATAGACGAGGCGGGGATCCGCTGGTATGGTTAAAGGTAGGTTAGTAGGTTTAGGCCTTGCTGCAACAAGGTTGTCGTGTAACACCTATTCAAATGCTTGTCGCTTTTAGAAGTTTCATCTTGCGAGCATTCAATAATTCAGCCAGTCAGTTGCCTTGTTGGTTGATCTGCTGATATATGGAATGGTAAGAAATCGTGCGTGTGCATGTTGCTACATATAATAGCGAGTAAACTACCTAGCTGTACGAAGTACATATATATACAAAACCGTGTAGTAGGTGCTCTGATCCACAGGTGGTATGCGATGGTGCGCTCTTCAGGCAATTGATAATCTCCAACGCATCTCAAACATGGGGCCGGGAACCGACCCTGGTAACTGTAGACGGTCCTGTATTTATAGCATTGATGTCCATTCAGCCCCCCCCCCCCCTTCAGAACTAACATGACATATGTGTTGTTGGTTAACTCATAACAAGCCTGCCTGCGGCTTCTGAGTATCGCAGTGAGTGACCAGTTGCTATTATTATTTGTATTACTATCGGCGATGGATTTGAACAACCACTGTTGTGCATTGCGTCAACGTAAGAGTATCTCATATAGCTTAGAGCCGACGTATTCTCTAGTCTCAAGTTAAGTAAGTAGTGTGGAGAGGCACGAAAAGTTTAAAGCTGGCAAATGACTGAGAGGATGCAACGTGGACACAGTTGTCCCCGATGGCTATGCTGCATCAATGTCTTGACTACGAAGCAGTCGTGTCTGATAGGGTACAGTAATGTCTAAAAGGCCCCTAATCTTACGCCATCATGTCATCACTTATTTATTATCACTCTCTGTTGCTGATAAGGGATACCTTACTAGTCCCAGCTGACTAGGACTTGTGCAACTATGTCCGATGGATGGATGAGAATAGATGAATGACTCTTGTCGGTCTGACCGATTCCAGACAAACACATACAAGGTGCACATAGATAAACTCAACAACCCCTCCCACCGAATTGCCTAAAGCCTATCTCTGAACTTGTTTCCCTAACACCCGTCCGCGTGATCCCCCTTCGAGATCACCCTCGATGGCTTCAGGAACCCGGACGTACACCCGCTTTCGCCCCAACGGCTCGAGGGTTGGAATGGAAGAATGAATAGCAGCGGCATGCCTGTAGTTCCTGGGATTCAAGCCGAATTATGGTTGGACCGTAAACGTTAAACCTATCTCTATGTTGGACAAGTGTTCAGTTGGCCCGTTGGTTGGTTGATGATTTGAGAAATGGACCCAGAGAGGAAAAAAACCAGGGGGCCAGACTTTGTTTTCGATCGGCATCCCTGCAAGGCCGGATCCTGGTCAGTACCTAAAACCTTGAGGTATGTACCTCCTACATGTGGTTAGGCTCTGCCACCCGCACAGCCGAAAATCTGCTGCACGCCATAGGTAATCATGTGACGCTTCTACCAATGTTAAATTCTAACTTATTATTATTGCGCTCTTCGCTTATCTTGGTCGCGGACCGGTGCATCATGATGACAACGTAGGTGTGGATATCCCATATCTATGTCCGACGAGAGAGGTTCCTGGCGTCAGCACAATTCCACCACTGAAACGACCGAGCACATAGGACCTATGAAAACTTCAAATTTTTCTAAGAAGCTTTAGTAACACGAGCACTTTCTGTGCCACGTTCACCGCTTTGTCGCCCTCAGCCATCCCGTCTAAGTGGCTGGTATAGCGACTTGATGTATCACATATCCGAAATGCAACAGCCGAAATGCAACGGTATGGCCTCTCTAATCTTGCATGTCGTGTCTCGTTCTGCCTTGAATTAATGTCCTGATGCATCAGCTGTGCAACCTGGATAAGTAATCGGGGACATCGGACCTTCAAATCAGAGTACTTGAGTAATATTAGGTTCGGTAGGGTCTCGAGTCTATAACGGCAGCATATAGTAGGTAGGGTGTCAATCTCAACCAGCTGCATAGCAATAGGGTTCAGAACATCGTTATCAACATTCGTACCACAAACGTAACTAAGGGTGTTCAATTAAATGCAGATTATGATATAGTCTTAGAAGAGCAGCGCCCTCTTTATATAGCCACAGGAGTGGGGGCGTATATATACCAGCCTTCTTGCCTTAATCCGTCAAAAGTATCTGGACAAAGGGATACCCAACCAATGCCAGCTCTCTTGGATATGTTTCCGGTTCCATTGGGGTGTCCCTGAGGTCGAGTGCCTAATTGAAGGACTTCAGAGGAAACTACATCAGCCATAATGCAAGAAGTCGATAGAGCTTAGGCCGTGGGCTACAGAATAGGAGAGTGGCTCTTGTCAGATCAAATGAAATTACACTTATGTTATGGCGACCATTCAGTGAGTCTGAAGATGTAGATTTCATGTCTTCTCCAGAATGTTCCATCTTGGAGGTGTCCTATCTATATACCGACATATGGACCTCTGGTCCATTACCTGCCAGGGACGTTCCTGGCAACCTGCAATACTGAACTCTGGGCATTTCATAGTAGGTCTGTATATTGTCTAGTTGGTGGGAGGGACTCGAAAATTCAGGAGTCTTGGGACGCTTCGTAGATTCCAGGGGCATTCAGAACGATAGATGATGTGTTAGACGAAGCAGTATACGTATGAGCGAAAGCAATCCTATTGTCATCGATTCCATGAATTGTTCGGACGGTGGACTGCATATTGTTCTTCATAGCCCCTCTCTATGCTGTATTGCCATCTTTGATAACCCCTGGCAAAGGTTGTAAATGTGGTTATTAAAGTGCAGTTGGGTTCTATTTCTAATAGTGCTCATGGAGTTCGTTTCAATAGCTCGTCTGCTGTTCATGATGAGATGTTTCATTTCGTAGTCGTGAGGTCGTGAATCCCGCTGTCTAAATGCAATCCAGACCACATGTACAAACCATACCCCCTATACTCCTCAACATCAACCTCCTCTCCCCCTCCCACCAGCACCAGCACCACCCCGTCCCCTCCCGCTCCCGCCTCTCCCGCCTCTCTTCCCCTTGCCCCCTCCACGTCCCGTACCAACCTTCTCATACAGCCTCTCCTCACCAAACGCCATCTCGCCGAACCTTACATAACTGATCAACCCGCAATCGACGACCGCGACGACGGCGTTCCGCCACGCGTGCTTGAGGCGGCGGTACATGAGCCCCGCTCCCCCGTCACCCCCGGGCCCATCCCTCGGCGGATCGGGCGGGTCCCATGGCGTGCTCTCGAGCAGCGCGGTCAGCTCCTCGAGCGTGGGCACGGACGATGTCCGCGCGTCGACGACGGCGATGCGGAAGTCCGGCGGCGGCGGCTTGGTCTTCGTGAAGGCGGAGCTGCTCCGCCAGATGTGGAAGTGGATCCGGAAGGGGTCCTCGGGGGGCGGACCGGAAGAGGAAGAAGGATGGGGGGTGGGCGTGGGTGTGGGCTTGTGGGGGGGGATGAGGGCTAGTTGCGCGTAGATGGGGTTGTAGGAGCGGTAGAGGCCGGGCTTGACGAGGGGCCCGTTGGGCCGGGGGGTTGCTGGGTTCTCTGGTAGGGAGCTGGGGTTGAGGAGGGAGAATAGCCATTCCCAGAGGGTGTGTGGTGGCGATTTATGGGGAGGTGTCGGTGGTAAGGGGATGTAGGCTGCTCGCAGGACCTTGTAGCCTAACCGCCGGAGGTTTGCGTAGACTTGGTATTTCTCGAGGGTGACCTTTCCTCTTTCTCCATCTCGGCCAATGAATAGCGCATATGCGGCTTGCAGACTCAGCGGGACCCCGAGTTCATGCTCGGCGAACCCCTGCTCGGCTGGATCCTTCGACTCAGATTCACCCTCCCGTTTCACGGGGAAGATATCCTCGATGCCTCTCGCCGGCCACCACAGATCCAACGAGCCACGCTCGATCAGGTACAACGCCTCCTCCGGCAACAGCCACGTCTTCAGCCAACCAGGGGTATGCTTCTCAACCCCGGTCACGACCCTGCCCGTGGTCTGGCCCAGGGGACCCCTGACCTCGGTCTCGAGCGCGACGACGCGGTCCGGCGCAAACAAGCCCGACGCCCGCTCACCACCCACTCTCTCCTGCTGCTCCGCCGGCGCACCAGCCCACTTGTCCGGGAAGTACCACCCCCGGGTACAGTCCCGGGGCTTGTGCGAGCGTGTGTGGCTCAGCACCTCGTGCATGGCGCTGCGGCTGGCCTCCAGCACTGACTCCTGCGCGCGCGTGCCGTGGGACTCGAAGTCTTTCTCGCCGCGCCGGATCGTCTTGCTCGAGGCCTGGCGCTTGTTGAGCAGGGAGCTGAACAGTCGGAAGTCCTGCGTCTCGTCCGCGAGCGCGTCTTCGAGCGAGGGCACATCATCCTCGGCGTCCTGTCCAGCGGCGCCGCTGCTGCTGGCGGACGGCAGAGGAGCTGCGGGCGTGGGGTCTTCGTCGTCGAAAGGCATTGCGTGCGGTGCGGTAATGGAGTTAGGGTCAGAGCCCGATAGCTTGGAATCGTGGATTCTGCAATGTTTATTGCATGATGAAATAAGACCTCAAAGATTAAGTCTGCGGCGTTTGCATTGACTACCTGTAGAGCAGAAAATTGAGCTCGCGAAATGGAATTATTTCCGCTACAGGATGTCGACTCGTGAAAAAAAGTGAATCCAGGTACGGAATGTACATTTTAGGTAACATCGAAATCCCAGCCGGGCAGCGAAGCTAGGGTAGCCTTGTGAAACATGCATAGCAAATCCCACTTATCCTTGCAAGTACCCAGGTTGTTACCGCAAGTAACCCAAACCACGTCACACCCCACTCTTATTAGATACCCCCATCCCACCCCACCATCATGTGTATCCACTTTGAGGCACAGACGCTGGAATTGCAAAATTCACCAATGGCCGGCTCGCTTGGACCCCTCCTTCAGCTGCCCGCACCTTCTGAGTTTGCGTTCTATACCACTATAATCGACGAATTGTCAACTAGGATAAGGGAGTTTGGCCGAGTGGTTAAGGCGTTGCGTTTAGGTCTTCCCTTCCAAAGGGAAACCACGAACCGCAATGGGAAACCGCGCAGGTTCGAATCCTGCAGCTCTCATCATCATTTTCTTTTGCCCTTTCTAGTCATTGAATTTCTCTTTCTTTTTCCTCTTCCCTACGTAGGTATCTTATATATCATCTATGTATTTTACATGTCACGTATTTCGTAGGCTATAACAAGTTCTCAACTCTTTGGTTCCTTTGGATCCATCCAGAAGAGACAAGCCAAGGGCGGGGTAAAGACTCCTCATTCTAAGAACGCGTACGTCCCTGATGAATCAATCAGGCGGACAATTTATACTTTCCAAAATCCTCAGTTGCAGTCTCATCGCCAGTTTTCCTCGGGATTTGCTCATTTTAAGCTTTATGGCTGAGAGCTGTGCTGTAATTCGTAATCAATCGTCAGGGAACTTGCTCATTTTCTTCGAAGCCATACGTTTAAACCGCTGTGTAAATGCCACAGCTTGATATCCTGTCTTAACGCCTACCCAATGTTGTATATATGTATGGATACTGGAACCTAGACCCGATTCACCTTTTTTAAACCCCATCTCCAGTAGTCTTCAGACCTAGCCTTAAAGCTCAAATATATAGCTCACCAAGCACATTGCCTCAGGCTTTCACTTGATAATGAGTGACGCCAGACTCCAGGCCTGCGGGCGTAGAGAACAGAGGTAGTATGGTCGTGAAATATGCCAAGTCTATACGATGCGTGTCAATTCCAACATAAGCGCCGCTATGACTAGCCCGCGCCGATTATCGCATTTCGCAAGGGAGAGCCCAATGTTGGTGTTGGTGGTTTCCAAGCCAGGGATTGAGGTGGCCCAGCAATGAGCCCTAGGTTGGTGGTACAGCAGACCAACAATCACCATAAATAGGCAGCAGGAAGACTTCGTGAGGTCAAATATCAAGTAATAATACTACTTCAAATATTCTGCGGCGTGGTTCATTCATATTCCCACATCTCTCTCCTAATCCAATCATATCTGAGTGCCCGTACCTAGCGGAGATCATCAGGCGTACCGTACAGCCCCCAGCCAAGTATATACAATTACATACAGCTTCCCCCGTACCTAGCTGTTTATCATCCTCCCGCGCGTAGCATCTCCGTAGATGAATATCTGCAACGGCTAAGTCGCGTTCTTCCGTCTGGTATCTTGTAGTCATCCTGGTGTGGTGATTTGTTCGGCGGCCGACAACGCAGCCCGCCGTCTCTCATACTTGAAGTCGGAATCATATTAAAATCGCCCTGACAGCCATACGCCCCCGTAACGCCCGAGATGTAATGCGCTAGTACCCCGGTCTCGTGCCACTCCTTGTGTGGATTCCGCACCCCTAACGCCGTGCAAACCGTCCGGGAATCTCGTACAAAGGGGTAGTCGAACTTGCCTAATGCAATGCATAGGCAACCAACCGAGCCATGAAATCATGAACTACCGAACTTTGTATCAATTCGTAAATATGCTCCCTAGGGAGTTCCATCGTCGAAGTAGCATCCCATGCGCTCTTCGACCCTCTATATGACTTACAACCAAAGTTGAGCATAAATTCTTCGTCGTTTCGCCAATGTTGAGGAGCGGCAGGTGGTTGAAGACCACGTTTTGCAGCACTCCTTGCGTTTCAGCTGTAGGCAGGTTTGAATACCGTTCCTTCGAGGAATACCGGGTTCAAAAGTCACATCGGCATTGGTCCGGGCCAGTAGGGCGACAAAGAATCCAAGGCCACCAATACCGGGGAGAAAATTGTCGGGCGAGGCAACCTTTCAACCACCAGAGCTTGTCAACAGATGCTGGACGCAACATGGCCTGTAAGTAAATCACAATACAAGAAGTTTACTCGAGTAACCAATGTGCCCAAAATGCAACGCTATGAGCAAAGCATGAGTGATTCGCGCGATCGTAAAAGAAGACAAGGAATCCCTGCTCATTCGATCAATGGTTTCTTCTGCCCTCCCACGAGGCAAAGCCCCAACGTCGACAGAGCCATGGGGTCATTGGCCAAAACAATGCGCCTCGCCGGTAGCATCGGGTTATTCTGGTCAACGGATGAGGCATCTTTTGCCGCTTGCTCGATCGCCTCCATTTCCTCCTTACAGGCCTGGTGATCGAGCGGACAAATGACGATGGGCTGTCGGAGAGTAATGTCGCGAGCAGACGTCATGTGTGCCTACAGTCGACCATGTCAGCAACGACTTACAGAGGAGAAGAATAATGCCACATTCGCACATGCGCATACCTTAATGCTCAAGAAGAATTCAATCTTGTAAAGCGTAGATGTTGTCGTGAATGATGTGACTTCGTAATTCGGAAACGCGGGTTGTCCTCTTCGAATAATACCATTGGCATCTCTTAGATCCTTATGCGGAAAGACGAGTCCCATGTTGGTCACATAGCCGGACTCAGCTAATTTTAATCCCACATTGTGAACTTGCTTTTGTAGCCTATTGACCTTCTTGGTCGGCTCGTCGCCCTCTGGGTTGTAGGTGATCTCCTCCTCAATCGCGAGCGTGATCTTCTGTATAGTAACCTTCCTCGCCTTGGTTATCCAATCCAGATTGGGTGCTAGTTTGATATATACCGTGATCGGATCCATAGGACCGTAGCTCCATCTCGGTAGCGAGATACCCAGGGTCACTATGTTATCGGTGGTCGCGATCTTCGTCTCGGGCCGGTTGTACATTCCAAAGGTTGACAGCGTGTCGTACCGCTGCAACGGCACGGGGAACGCATATTTGTTCTGCACACTCTGCCCCTGTTGCACTGTCACGACCAACTCGTAGTATGTCTCCGCGGTCCTGCTCGGAAGTTGCAACGATGCCGGTGGTATCCTCCTGTTGGTCTCTTCACCGCCTCGCCCAAAGGGGATAAACAGGGCAAATGGCAGGTCCATGGCCATGATGTTCTCGGCCTCCCTGCCAGTTGCGCACCGGTATAGCAACAGCTCCTTTCCGACGACATCGGTCGTATCGCGTCGAGGCGTACCCAGATGGCGCTTGGCCACATTTTCGGCGGCCGGGTGGATTGTTTCCCTCCTCTGCAAGCAAATTCGTACCAGGGAAATGGCGACGGGGGCTGAATAGCCTTGCTGTGGTCTAATTTCGACTTTGCCTACAATGCGCGGCTGCGTACAATTTGTTAGTCGGTCGGGTGTAAGCTGGTCGGGGGCACGAGAAGCATCGCGAGGCTCCTGGTTTTGGGGCTTGTCACCATCACCGTCACCGTCACCTCCACCCCCACATTGCTAGGTAAACACAATAAAGCAAGACCGCTACGAAATATGAACTTACCAGCGTCGCGGAAATGCCAGGATAGCCAACCAGGAAACTACTATTCGGCGGGCCAGAAACCCGAACGAAAGCGGCTACTCGATCCGTCATGTTCGCGCAGTGCGCTCAGCAGGTAGTGGTGGGAGAAGAGGTAAATGTTTAGGGTTGGACGGGCACATCTATGCCTAGTCTCGACGGCTGCGCGCCGGCGCCTCCTAGCGAAATGCGATCGTCGTACAATCCCGGGTGTGAGGAGAAGGGCAGCATTACATAGCAGACGGTGGTTTGAATTCGATATTTCCCACGCGGCTTCAACGAATACAATTCGTATCTGGAGGAATAACGGGCCAGTGCGGTCGTCGGGGAATTACTTTGTATGTGAAGGGTCGTAAAAGGCGGGATGCAGAAGAAGGCTCGGTTGGCTGGCGGTTGGTTGGTTGGTTGGGTAGGCAGGCAGGCAGGTAGGCAGGTAGGTAGATAGGTAGACAGGTAGGTAGGTAAGTAGGTAAGGTAAGGTAAAGTAATAGGTAATGGGTAATGGTATGGTAACCTAAGTCGAAGGTTTCAAGGTTCCCAATTCCCCAAGGATTATGCTGTTGTTGCTGATGCTGGTGCTGGTGCTGGTGCTGCAGTGCTGGTGCTGAAGGTACTGTACTGGTGGTGTATTGGTGGTACTGGGTGGTATGTATGTATGTACCTACTAGCGGTGCTGGTGGTGCTGTCGCTGCTGATTGGAGAAGGTGGCTGAGGTAAGTGTGTATGTAGGTACCTAGGCAAGGTAAACGATGGGACGGAAGGGTAAGGATAGCTGGGATAGCTGGGATAGCAACGGCGATGGCGGGTCTACTCTGCTGAAGGGGAACTGCTGAGCCGCCCGCTTTGACGAGAAGCGGCTTTAAAGGCGTTGTTCAGTCTCCTGCCCCGAAGGTCAATGTGGGAATCCTGGCTTGCAGCCCTGCAGCTCACTTCCTAATAAGTTATCACGGGCAGCCGAAGAGGTTGAGTGTGGGCGGTTTGGGTTCGATGTTCTGTCCTGGACAGGACTGGGGCTGATGACGACGGTGCAAGCGGTGGTGCAGCGGTGCCGGGCTTTAAGACCAGTTACCTCCACCGCAATATAACATAAGCTGCCTACATAGGTGCACACCGACACGGCTGGACTTTTTCTTTAACTTTTCGTTTCACTAGGTTCGGAAAAGAGCTTAATAACTTAATGGTAATTGGGAAGACAATAAATGCTTCATCGTATAACTAGAATCCCAAATATAGGACTGGGAATGGGAATTGGGTGAGAATGGTGAGAAACAGGGAGAGGGTGGTGGGAGGAGAAAGCTGACAGACAAGCTGAGCTGGATGGCGTTGTTGTTGTTGTTCTTGTGTTGTAAGAGGGATGCCCAGGTGGTGAGTGAGAGTGGTGAGGGTAGCGAGGGTAGTGAGGGTTCGGTTCCAGGTTATTGCTTATCCAAGGTAATGACGACCTGCTGTAATAATGTACATACGTACAGAAAGCACTGAGGTATGTACAAACAACTCTGGGTTGAGTCCAATAGAATGAAAGAGCCTCTCACATTGTCGGGCGGCTATAAAGTGGAGGCATCACTCGGGCTGAACTGTCGTTACACACCCATACGTACATGTATGTATAAGTCTCCGTTTGGTGTGGCAGTGTGGTTGGAGATTCGAGGAAGAGAGCATCGCGTATACCGTAACGAATTATTGGTACGGGATACTACAGCTAACCATCTTTGGTAGAATGTCCTTTCAGATGATGCAGTCCCGTTTTGGGCCGTCCT